ACCAACCACACCGTAGAGGAGGATCTGAAGATCCCATTAATAATAGTCGTTATAACACCAAAGCCTAATAAATATACCTAAATAAATGTCGAACATCAGATCATAAAAAGATATCCATAAGAGATTTAATTTATTCGATCAACCGTTAGATAAAGAAAACTGAAACGAATTTGGTTAGAAGACCCTCCCGATAATAAGTAACTGCATGGAAAACCATTAGTGAATAGTATGCGGCACAAACCTACTAAAATATCTTATATATTTCCATTACTCTTAAAGAAAATGCATTGCAAAGAAAAAGAAAATATAAATAGCAGCAGTAGAATTAAGATATCTAAGTATATAATCTATAGTTTAAAATATGTCGAAGCGAAAATATTCTGTGTCATTTAATATTACTCTTAAGAATAAAGAGCTGACCCAAATAGAACACTTTAACAACTAAAAATAAGTTGTGAGTCGGTTAAAGTGATCCGTTTTACTATCGGAATCAAGTAGCATGACCAATCTGGCTTTTTATGCTGTCTGAATTGCCAAATACCCATTCCGTCTATGTATGTACGAATTTTAGGCCAGTCACAATGGTTGTCGACGTAATAATATATCCGTAGACAGCAAAATAATTTTGATAATTTCACTTATTAAATAATAATCCACAAGGAATCTACGTTCCTGTAGTTGGCTGTATACCATATATTAAAAAAATTATTAAAAATCCTTTGTAAAAGGTATATATTAAGAACCCAAACGGGCTAAGTTAAAAAGACAAAACGTTTTCGGAATCCATATTCCATCATCAGTGTCTAAGAGTACATGAATGTAGCCACTAAATATATGGGTAAAAACCCGTTAACAAATAATTAATTACATTTAGTTTACAAATTTTCCTATAACGGTTTAAGATGTTAAAGTTACCGTTGGATTAGGTAACATGGCGACATATGACTCCACGTTGAAGTTGCTAGTCTTGAGACAGTGTGTCTACGAAGACTGTATGGGAGCAACAGTTGCTCCCATACAGTCCATTTCAAATAGGTAAAGAAATAATAAATAAGACTTACTCACAATAAATTTAATTTAACTATCAGACGACCGGTTTCGCTTTCTACAATATGCAAAGCATCTTCAGGTCTCGATACAAAGTTAAATAAAAGCTGAAATAATAATAAACCCATATTAGGGTGTTGTCTAATAAAGATAAACAAAGTAGATGTTATAAAATTACAATAATTATGCCAATATTACATGTCTGTGGTTTTTCAAAATGAATAAAAAGGTATAAAAAGTTTTAACAGACAAGGTAAGACCCACAAATTGTTATAAAATAGTCTATTAGATTGTAATAAATTAATAAATGAGCAAATAAATAAAACATTACTTACATGCCGGTACTCTATTAATTGATGGATGGTAGAACATGGTTGAAACTGTCATGTATTGTTGAATGGAGAACATAAGTCTGCTAAATGGTTTGTATCGCTAACAAATACTATAGAATTAAAAACAAACTGTCTGTGTAACATAAATAAAAGGCATTTCTTAATTTCTATTTTATTTTAATTTAACCCAAGTATGTTGTAGCAAATATTATTTATGTTTGAGAACAACTGACAGAAGGAAGCCAGGCAGGGTCGTTAGTGGGCATTAGTGGTTAAGTTACTGTCAACACAGAAGATGGATTAGGCTAAGTAGTAGGAAGTGACGTTTATTTTAATACAAGTTTACAAAGAAGTATGGCATCGATGTTGTGCATTTACCCTGTACAGACTAGTCACTTTGAGACAATAGACAATATATAGTGAAAAAGTTCAATCATCGCAGAATTAAATACCGTTTACCACATAATCTTAAAGACATTTTATGCTCATAAAACACAATAGAAAACTTACTTTTGTTCTTACAAGACCTTAATTTACTAAGTAAAATGTAATTAACTGTTACCCTTCCGCTAATAACCTTATTAGGTTGCAGCGGGTTTTTATCAATAAAAAAAACTGTATTTTTCAGTATATGTAGACCATAGTCTATTTTTCGCTAATGTAAAGTGCACTGATTTTTAATGTTTTTTGCTTTTGACAACCGTACTATTACCGTTTGATATATCAAAAGTAAATCAGAAGAAAGGCCATCGTTAAAATGTCATCGAAATAGAGAGTAAATATAGCGATATTGATATTGGTAATTGGATTGGAACTGTTAGTATAGGGGGAACTCAAAGTTCACGTTTAAAAAATTATAAGAAGATTGTATATAGCAAAAGCTGAGGAAATATGTCAGTAACCTTTATTGAATGCCACTATTGAAATGTAACGTTAAGGGGACTCAGGTTTCTTTTGTACAATAAATAATTATAGAACTATTACTGATTCGATCGATACTTAATTATTATTCTTAGGAATAAAACATAAAACAATGGTTTTATAAATTTTCAATATTTTTTTTTTACTATTGACACAGATAAAATTTTAATGTACATCTAAAAAATGATGTAACTCAGTGCAATACAATGCAATTAAATAATTCATTTTAGCTGTCTACGCTTGTCACCATACCGAAGAAAACTAAGGCAATGCAATTTTCAGATCATCGAACAATCTCCTTGATGAGTCATCTGCTTAAAATATTTCTTAGAGTCATCTACAACAGAATCTATCAAAAGTTAAATATCGATATTAACGATACACAGATGGGATTCAGAAAAGGATTAGGTACAAGAGAAGCTCTCTTTGCCTTAAACTGGGTGCCAATGATTAAGTTCACTGCCAATTACTGCATGCCGATAACTAGAATATAACTGCCAATAATTAGGAAATGTGTATAATGTCTACAATAACCTATTTTTGCATTATTTTCCTCAATATTTATAAATTAACAATCTAGCTCTTTTTTCCACACCCGTTTTCCACAATAAAAATTATATAAAATATTTTAAAATAAATATACTCTTTTTGATATTGTTCGAAAGCATTGTATGCCATATTTCATGTAAATCATATTAGCTTTGTAATATTTTTTGGGAATAATAACGCAAAATTAAATATTTATTTAGTTTTCTGGTTTTGGAAAAAGTTTAAAACTGAAACGTTGAATAAATATTAAGTTTTTATGCATACTTTTAGTCTGTTTTCCAGGATAGTATTTTTAAATTTTCAATGTGTATTCCCTATATCGTATTAGAAATCTACCCAAAAATTTATTTTTTATTTACAGATTACGATTTTGTTTTATTGACCATACAACACAATGGCAATCGCTGTGACATGTTACACGTTTCCACCTTTATATTCATTTCACAGTAGGTACGAATTGTCCTAATTGTCATATTGACATTAAAAATTTTAAACGAAGTTCTGAAGGAATAAACAAATAATAATTAGACCTGTCGATGAGAAGCATCAAAACAGGGATATTGATATTTGTGCTTTTGTGGAAGATAGTGAACCCTGCAATAGTGTACAAATTGCTAGGAAAGTTAACGTGAATGCTCGAACTGTCCAGCAAGTTCTCAAAAGAAATGGATAATACTGTTTTAAGATACAATCAACACAAGAACTGTTTCCGAAAGATAACTTTAGGCGGATAGAATTTTGTGAATTAATGTTAGATAAACAGAATAAAAATGTCAATTTAATTTGCCGTTGGCACCGGCAACGGCATTTACTGAGCTACTCAATCCACTCAGCACTTACCGGATGCGGAGTTTGATGTCTTTATAACGTCTGTAAAAGCAATTTCATTATATATTTGGAATATCCTTAAACTTAGATCATTTTTTTCAAGGTTCAATTTATCATTAATTTAGTTGAATTTTACTAAATCTCTTCTCCATTTCAATTATAGATGGCGCTTACCTTTTTGTTACATTTGTTGATACATATACTACAGTTTAATAACTCATTGTTGTATCTATCTATCTATCTGATACTTCTTCTTCTTGTTCTTTTTTTGGGCTATGTCCTAGACAATTTACCCAGTTTACTTGGGGGTAGACACTTTTTGTCTTGTTTCAGCAATCAGTGTCCACCTACACTTATATTCTTCCTTTGTTTATTTTGGATTATTCTACATGTATACTTGTGGTGGTATTTTTCTTCTTTATATTCTTCACAGGCTAAAATTTTAGTAAGAACACAACAAAGGTATAAACTTTTCTCGCTCGGGGGTAGCCTCCAAGCTTTGCACACACCAGAAATGCTACCGACGGATAAAGTAGAAGCACCCAGGACTGAAAGAAGGAAGATCATAGTTTACAATTTAATATTGCAGGTAGAAATAAAGTTGCATAAGGTGTTTATTGTATTTTCATTAATATTTGTGAGGATTGTGCAAATATTTATGGGAGTGGGAAGTTTAGTTTTAGCTAATTCGGCATACAAGTCGAAATGTGGGTTTTGGTTTAAGCGACATTCTAATAAAATATGGTTTAAGCCTCCCACTTGGCCACATTCGCAATAAGGATCATCTTTGACTCCAATTCTAAATAGATGAAGAGGGGATGAGCAATGACCTGTTCTCATACGGATGATTGTAGTTAAATGTCTCCTACTGATATATGCGAATTTATTGAACCATGGTAGTGTGTGGATTCGGTTATTAATTTTGACATAGAATGAATTACTTGTGCCATATCCTTCGTACCATTCAGCTGCCCAGTTAGACCAAATCTCTCTTTTTAAGTAGGGTGTAAAATTTGAAAACTGTAGCTTGATATTCATGGGAATATTCAGGGAACGACCTATATTGGCAAGTTGGTCAGCCTTGTAGTTTCCAGTAATACCAGTGTGTCCTGGGATCCATGCTAGTAAGATTTTAATATTATTGTTCCTTGCTAGGATAATTCCTCTTTTCGTTAAATACGATATATGTTCTGTGTCTTTGTTCTGTGTCTGTTTTTTTATTTTTTGTAGTGCACTTGTACACTATGTGATACTAAATTTTTAAAAACTATAGTGGATTTAATAGGAATTTCGCTTAATGTTTTGTTTACGTTTTGACGAACTGTCGTATTTATAATGTGTTATATTTTGACATATTTCTATACTTTTAAAAAATATACTAATTAAAATGACGTTATTATAAAAATGTCACGAAAAAGTCACCACTAAAAATTATTTTTTTTAACTGAAAACTTTTTATACATTGTAACGCAATGACCACTTCCTGGAATTACCCTGACCCTGCTCTTCAAAATGAACTCAGAAAGATAGCAGATGCCATAGTGACACCAGGCAAAGGAATATTAGCAGCAGATGAATCTGTATCAACTATGGGTAAGCGCTTGAAAGATATAAATACAGAAAATACTGAAGAAAACAGACGTAAATACAGGCAGTTACTATTCACAACTTGTCCAGTTATAGGTAACTTTATTTCCGGTGTAATTCTATTTCATGAGACTGTATACCAAAAAACTGACGACGGAACTCCATTTGTGGAATGCTTAAAGAAAAGAGGTATTATTCCTGGAATAAAGGTAGATACTGGAGTCGTTCCTCTTTTTGGAAGTAATGAAGAATGTACTACACAAGGTCTTGATGATCTGGGTAAACGCTGCATGCAATATAAGAAAGATGGCTGTCATTTTGCTAAATGGCGTTGCGTGTTAAAAATTGGTAAAAGTACGCCTTCCATTCAGTCATTAATAGAAAATGCAAACGTTTTAGCTCGATATGCATCTGTTTGTCAAGCTAATAGAATAGTACCGATAGTGGAGCCTGAAATATTGCCAGATGGAGACCATAGTATTCTAATCTGTCAAAAAACAACAGAAACAGTGTTAGCTTATGTCTATAAAGCATTATATGATCACAATGTTTATTTAGAAGGAACTTTACTTAAACCAAATATGGTCACTTCTGGACAATCTTGTCCCAAAAAGGCTAGTGCACAAGAAATAGCTGAAGCTACAGTAACTGCTTTCCAACGGAGAGTCCCTTGTGCTGTACCCGGCGTTACGTTTCTATCTGGTGGACAATCTGAGGAAGAAGCAACTATTAACCTGAATGCTATGAATCAATATCCTGGTAAGAGACCATGGGCATTAACGTTTAGTTATGGTCGAGCTTTACAAGCCTCTGTTTTAAGAGCTTGGGGTGGAAAAGATGAGAATATCAAAGCTGGTCAGGATGAGCTGCTTAAAAGAGCTAAAGCCAATAGCGATGCTGCCCAAGGAATGTATGTACCTGGTAGTGTTGAAGGTAAAGCTGGTGCTGCCGATTTATTTGTTAAAGGTCATATTTACTAAATTATTATGTATATTATAAAAAACAATGTAAATTCTTGGCGAAATAAATACCTTACCATGTTTTTTTTTAATAAATTATTTATTATCTAATAATAACACTTTTTCGTTAGTTTAATATCGTTTCTCTTAAAAATGATGGAAAGGCTATGCGCGAGGTACATAAGGGATGAAGTTCTGGTTCATAGCATGTATATACTTCGGGAAGATATACCAATTCTGCACTGTATTAAGTAGTGAGAAGAATTGAAAGATAGATATTAAAGAATTCATCCTAGATATATTCATACACATTGCTCAACAGCTTAATGTCAAGAATGTTCCCCTGGCCGTAAGCGAATGGATGCTCAGTAAGCTCTCTAATAGAGCAATAAGCATAAATGCAAAAGACGTTTCTGTTAGAAGCATGATTACGAGGGGTGTCCAGGGTACGAAGGGTGCTATCACCACTCCTCTGGAACATAGTTCTAGAGACACTGGTTGATCAAATCTTCAGCAACGGGTTTTACACAATAGCCTATGCAGACGATATTGCAGTCCTGCAAAGCGGTAAGTTTGAGAACAAACTATGTGAGAGATTACAAGTTGCTCTTCGACCAGTATAAGCATGTTGCAAGGAACACTTACTATCTATAAATCCTAAAAAGGCAGAGATGGTCGTCTTCACCAGAAAAAGAAGAATCATGAGCCTAATACCCCAAGAATTCTAAACTACAGTCAAAACTTTTCTGACGAGGTAAAATACCTTGGTATTACCCTTGACAGGAAGTCAACATGAAACTCACACTTAGATGGTAGAGGTAAAAGAGCATAATATATTGTCTATGAGCAATGTCGACGAACGGTCGGACGCACCTGGGGCCTCTCGCCCAGGATGATCGCATGAGTCTATACTGCTGTCATTAGGCCAATGCTAACTTATGAAGCTATTGCTTGGGTACCAAAAGTGCTAGAGACAACAGCGATTAACAAACTAAACCATATTCAGCAGATGGCTTGCATAAATATAGCAGGTGCCACGAAAACAACACCAACGGCTACAATGCAGTTGGTCATTGGTATCACGCCTCTAGACATATATGGCAAAGAGGTGGCACTGGTAACAATAATGCGCTCAGCTGGTGCAAACCTTAATGTAGGAATGGGACAATCGAGAACTCGTTTCTGGCGGGGAGATTTGGATGCGGTACCTCTGCTACAGGCAGGCTGCCACTCAATTAAACCAAAGTTTGTCTTTGGCTCAATAAGCTAAGGACAACAGCTCCCTGGGAGGATGCTTAATGGATCAATTGTGGTCTAAGTGCTGTGGAATTTAACTCGCCCTACCTACTCTACAGATATAGATATCTCTTTTTTAAATCACGACAACATTGATTTTAAAAATTGGAGTCACACTCTATTTCATTTTTATTTTTTAGTTTAATTTCGTTTCGCAGATACCTAGGATGGACATGGACATGACTGCTTAGCCTGGCTATTTCTAGCTAAATATTTTGTAATTTTATAGCTTCAAAGATAGTTATGTTTCACGTAGCCATCTTGTGAACTTCCACGTCTTAGATATGTATAAACTTAGGTTATCTGAATTTTACTGATGGGATTACAGTGAAACTTTTTCAGAACGGACACTTACGGGGGAAAATAATTGGGTAAGGTTGTCCGTTGTGTAGAGTTATCGCTTAATCTGCTGATTAAGCGATATGATAAGCGTGTGGAATGCTGACACAATGCCATGCTCCATGTGTTACCAATCGTTGTGGACTTCCCATTCTACAAATGATAACATTTTTCTCATCAAAAATTTTATATACGGAGATTTAAAGTTTTTAATTATTCCTTGGTCTAACGGTTGACAATATACTGTAGTATTAGGTGGCAAAAATATTATCGATATGTTAGATAACTGAATATCCCGATAAGATGGTGCGTTGTCTAGGAATAAGAGAATTTCTGTTTTTTGACGTTGCATTTTGCTGTCAAATTTGTTCAGCCAATCTGTCATGATATCTCTGGTCATCAAAGTCTTCTTATTGTATTTTTCTTAGGGTGTCTGTCCGTTCCGAACGTTGGAAATCATTCTGCCTATGATGACTTTGTTGGTTGCTATACAAAATAGCTGTATTGAGGTCTTTCTATACCATTCTTTTAGGTAAGCAAGCCAAGATATTCTTCTTCGTCCTGGGACTGTTTTTCCTTTAATTTTACACCCTTGACACACTCCGTTTAAAATGTTCGGCTGTTATTAGGTCTTCGCCGGGTGCCTTGTTGTTCTTTGCGTCTTTTTTGCCTGCAAAACTTCTTCGGTGAAAATGTTTAACCATCTGAATCTATTTGTGGGGACTCTTCTATTCTCTGATCACCAAACAAATCTTTAAGATATTGCTCCCATATTTCTTTCTGTTTTTCAGGGTCTAATTCCATTTGGTTTTTCTTGTTTGTTACAATCGATAAGTGTTTGGGTTTCCATATTCCAGCTACTTCTTTAACTTTCTGTGTAGTTATCTATCTTTATGCTTCATTTGCAAATCTTCTACCTCTTTATAGTTTTCTTCATCCACTCTTCCTTGACTACTTTATTTTTTCTCAATTTCCCTGTTGAGTTCTTTGTATCTTGTTAGGTTTTTGTTTTTTACCATCAATCTCCTCTCCATAATTTGTAATATTTCGTTTGTCATCCATGATTTTCTATGTTTACGTTTTCTTTCTGTATACTTTGGTCTGCTGCCTCCAAGACAGTATTTTTAATTTTCCTCCACATATCTTCAATGTTTTCTTTGTCTTCTCCTTAGTGAGAGCTATTGTCTTAGACTCTAACTGCGTGTCTACCATGTCTTCATACTTCTGTTGATGTCCTTGGTTAGTACTACTCCATGCTATTCTCTGAGTGGGTTTAGCCTTGTCTACTCTTTTTAGTTTTAATCGGATAGTTGCGACTACAGGATTGTGGTCTGAATTTGTATTACAGCTTGGGTACGTTTTTACATTTGTAAAATTGTACAATTTGTAGTCGATTTGGTTCCTCACAATATTTCCTTCGCAATATTGACGAGACCTCCACGTATATAGACATCTTTTAGGTAATTTAAACCATGTGGTAAGAACCACCAGGTTGTTCTCTTGGCAACATTCAACAAAGCGTATGCTTCATTCGTTCCTGGTTCCTAAACCATATGGGCCGATGATCGATTCGACTTTTTCCTACTTTGTCATTCCAATCTCCCACAAATATGTTGATGTCGTCTGATTTTATGTGTTTTTTGATCTTTTCAATATCGGAATAGAAAATCTCAAGATCTTCGTTTGATCTTTTGTATTATTGATTATTAATTTGTATTTTTGATCAGAATATCGCAACTTAATTAGAAATGTGTACAAAGGATGAATAAATTCTAAAATGGGTTTGTCCAAATCAAACTCGGTGTAGTTAAAGTAGGTACCTAGTTTTATGACCATAAGCACCTACTTATATAATTAGTTTTATAACTACAACAAAAAAACTAAAGGCAAATTTTGTCCGGAGTCGTTGTGAAGAGGGTCCGTCGTTTGGAGGTGTATTCCTATTATTTACCCATAAATGAAATTTGCGGTAACCTAATAACTGTCCGTTTAGCAGAGGTTTCCGTTGTGGAAAGGTGTCCCTTTTACAGAAGTACAGAAGTACAGAAGTCCCGACAGAAGTTTTACGGTATATTAATCTCAGATTCAAAGAAATACTTAAAAACGTTTACTTAAAGAGTACTGTAACAACTTGTCGTCTCCAAAAGCAAGTCAAATTTTTTTTATTTTTCGTCAATCACACGAAGGCGTCAGAAATCTCAAGTGGTTCCTGTAAGAGGTTTTATGAAGATGTTTTATTCTAGTTTTAAGTAAAAATATTTTAATTTTAATATTTCTAATTAAATATCCTTTGCTCTATGTTATTATTTTGGTTTGGACGAAATATCAGAAAAAACACGTAAAAGAAATGTGCTAAAAAGCATAATAAACAACAAAATACAACAAACAATAATTATCATTCTATTAAAAAAATGTTTTAACGGCATTTGTGTATAAATTTTGATTTAAGATTAAATAAAATATTTTTAAGCTTTAAAAGTTTTTTCGCGTGTCACGTTCAATTAACGACAAAATAAATCTTATTCTAACTGATAGAAATCATAATAAAAACTAAATAGAAAGGGGCAATTACTTGCGGTCTTTGTGATTTTATCATTCCTTTATTATCAGAACTATAATTGCTGACATCAATTTAATAAGTTGTTAGAATAAATTGTGATAATTTAGTCATAAACATAATATAGTGAAAGTTACACTAGTAACTTAATTTAGGTTTATTTAGACATTCAATTCAAACGAATGGGAAAGTTTGCAAGATTTACTTTTTAAACTATCAACCGTATTTGGTTTAATGGTCACTAGGTGTGGTAATTGTATATTATGGTAAACAGTACATCCTTGTATATTTTAAACATTCTTTTGGGATTAGATATTTCTTGAACCAAAATTAATTTTATACAAACAAAAATTATAAAAACTCCGCCCTGCAGTACCCACTAGGTGGATCGAGTAGCTTGGTGGGTGATGTTGCCGGTCCCAAGCCCGGATAAAGGAGGAGGGTTGTAGGGTTAGGTTAGCAGCCTGCCATATATAAAAATAAAAAAAGCTCAAAGAACCGGTGACGAGCCTCGGACTAGGACAGAAAATATGGTAACGACAAAGGCGAGAAAAAGGACGACGAACTGGAAAACGAAAAATATAATGAGAGTGGCGACGTGGAACATAAAAAGCCTAAATAACCGAGATCAGGAAATAGAAAAAGAGTTGAGAGAATATCAAATAGATATCTGCGCCCTACAGGAAACAAAGAGGAAAGGTAAAGGACAGACGCGGCTTGGAGAATATTTACTAATATATAGTGGGGTTCCGAAACAAGAAAGAGCAAAGGAAGGTGTAGCAATAATGATCAAAACAAAATATAAAGATCAAATTAAAGAGTGCCAGTACATATCTCAGAGAATACTTTTAGTAAAAATTAGGGCGAACAGCAAAATTATTAACATAATAGGGATATATGCACCAGAAGACTG